GTGTGTGCGCGCGCACCTGTTGACGGCTCAGCTGGCCGCCTGCACCACATCGGACTTTTGCTACTACCACGTGCGCATCGTTATCGGGCTAACACTACGCTGCCTATAAATACGTTATACACTTTTGAATAAAGGTTCTTTTCATTCTGCTGACTACGTGGATACATTGCTGGTCCGGCGCTGCTATGCGCACACCATGGCTATGCTACAGTGGCGACGAGGATGTTCACCACCCAAGCAGTGAAAGACGACCCTGAACCTGACACTACGAAAAATCGAGCAACCAAGGCGATCATGGCTCACCACCAGCTTCCGGACTGCGGAGAGAGCAAAGATAAGTGGACGCCATACCTTATCAAAGTCGAAGCATACTTTGAAGCGAATGCCATTGAAGACTCGACTAAGAAAAGAGCATTGCTGGTTGCTGCCTTAAGCACGCACACGATACAAGTGCTGGCAAGGAAGGTGGCTCCACGCAAGCCGAATGCGCTGACTTATGAAGAAGTCGTGGCAGTGTTGAGTGAGCACTACGACCCCAAGCGACACGAAATCACAGAAAGTTACAAGTTTTTCAGTCGGTGTCAAGCGGAGGGTGAGCCCATTAATGAATTGCTGGTCGACATTCGCCGAATAGCTGATAATTGCAATTTTGGCAGTGCATTAAATCGCATGCTACGAGATCGCATTGTGTGTGGTGTCCGGTCAAGTGCACTACAGAAGCAGCTACTTGCGAAGCGGAAATTAACATTAGAAGACGCTGAAGCGATGGTCCTTTCAGCTGAAGCTGCAGATAGTGGCGTGAAAAACATGAACGGATCTGGATTGACACCAGTGTTAAAAGTACAAGCGTATCAGCAGAAAACACCGCAAGACGAGAGACGGAGGGCTACACGTCAAGAATGCTCAAGGTGCGGTAGTGCAAAGCACAATGAGAGCGGTTGTACCTGGTCTAACGCTCGCTGTTATCGCTGTGGAGGACGCTGTCACCTTGCGAGGAAATGCCGAAGCCGCGGTCCTCACGAGCAAGGAACTGCAAGCAGGGCACAAAGCAACATTCTCACGGGGACGGAAGGTTCGACAGACGACGAACACGAAGCAGCGCACATCTGGGCCTTGGCCTCGGAACGGAAGAGTTGTCTGGTGCCACCAATTCACCGAACGTTCTCTTGGTGTGGTGTGCAGCTTACCATGGAAGTTGATACTAGGTCGCCCGTTTGTGTTATCCCACGTCAACTGTACGAGAAGCACCGCGACCAATGGCCGAAACTGAGACCATCCAGTGTGAAATTATCCTGCTACACAGGACGACTGCCAGTGCTTGGGGAGCTTGCGCTCAGTGTTTCTCATAAGGGAGTGACGGCGGAGTGTGCGCTGACCGTGTTAGACTGTGCGGGACCAAGCCTCTGTGGTCGAGATTTAATTCAGCTGCTGAACGCCGCTGGTGCTCCGGTGGTTCGCGTTGCAGGAGACTCTGAGCCCACAGAACAAACGGGCAAGTCCAGTGTGAATAGCATATTCAAAGACTTCAACGGCGTGTTTTCCGAGGAACTGGGGCTCATCACAGGCGCCCCGGTCAGTCTGCACCTAAAAGAAGGCGCCGTACCTAAGTTCTGTAAGTCCAGACCCATTCCATATGCGCTATGCGACCGCGTGTCACTTGAACTTGATCGGTTAGTGTCCTTGGCGTGTTATCACCGGTGGCACACTCACAATGGGCATCACCTATAGTCGTAGTTCTTAAGAAAGACGGCGCAGTGAGAATCTGCGGTGATTTCAAGGCCACAGTGAATCCCGCATGCGCCACTGAGCAATATCTCTTGCCTATCATTGAAGATATGTTTGTGCGACTACACGATGGGGATTGTTTCAGCACACTGGATTTACGGGACGCATACAATCAAGTGGCACTGGATGAGTCTGCAAAAAAAATTTGCGTCATTAACACACCAAAAGGGCTTTTTTGCTACAACCGACTGCCTTTCGGAATAGCCTCTGCACCCGCGATATTCCAAAGAAAAATGAATGAGGTTCTAGATGGTCTGGTGGGCGCACAAGCTTACCTTGACGACGTGCTCATTTCTGAAAAATCAAGCGACAGTGGTGAAAGGCTGAAAAACGTTTTGGAGCGGTTTCGAGAGAGATGCGTAAAGTTGAGACACGATAAGTGCAAGCTGCACAGCCCAGCAGTTACCTATCTCGGGCTTCGCATCGATCACGATGGGCTTCATCCGACAGAGAAAACCCTCGATGCTATCATGCAGGCTCAGAGCCCCCGTAATGTCAGCGAACTGCGGTCTTTTTTGGGAATGATCACGTTCTACGCGAGGTTTCTGCCTAACATGTCGACCACACTTTTTCCTTTGTATCAGCTGCTGGAAAAGAATGCGCGCTGGCACTGGGAACAGCCTCAAGAGCTTGCGTTTAAGGTTGCTAAGCAAAGACTCAAAGCAGCCAAGGTTCTCGTCCATTTCGACCCTTCTAAGGAACTAAAACTTGAGTGCGACGCGTCGCCATACGGAGTGGGCGCGGTCTTGTTTCACACGATAGGAAACGTCCACAGGCCGATCGGCTTTCGCTCGCGTACGTTGACACAGGCGGAGCGCAACTATTCACAGCTCGAGCGAGAGGCACTGGCACTGGTATTTGGCGTAACTAAATTCCGCGACCACCTTCTAGGTCGGGAATTTACCTTGGTAACTGACCACCAACCGTTGCTGGGCCTGTTGAGGTCAGACAGGCAGACGCCCACAATGGCCGCTGCCCGGATCCAACGTTGGGCGCTTCAGCTGGGGGCCTACCGGTACCAGCTGCAGTACGCCCCAGGACGACAGATGCTGAATGCTGATGCCTTAAGCCGCCTACCGCTGCAAACTACGGAAACTGACGAAGACGGTGAGCCACCCGAATATGTACTCTCGCTAAACCAGCTGAACAACGGTGTCGTGACAACGCGTGAGCTGAAGGCTTTCACCGCTTCGGATCCTGTCCTGGCAGAAGTCAAACGGTACATATTACATGGGTGGCCCAGACACACCAACGGGCTGGCAAGGGACATACTGCCATTTTTCGACCGTAAGCTACAGCTATCCGTTGAACATGACCTTGTTTATTGGGGCAATAGGGTCATAATACCAGCCGAAGCAAGAGTGCAAGTGCTGCAGCTTTTACATGAGACTCACCAGGGTTCGCCGGCAATGAAATCTGTCACGCGCTCTTTGTTTTGGTGGCCAGGCCTAGACAGAAATATTGAAGAGGTGTCTACTCAGTGCCAGAACTGTGTTCAAAATTTGCCGATGCCAACCGCGGCGCCCTTTGTCAAGTGGCCGGAAACCGGCGAAAGGTGGTCCCGCATTCACATTGACTACGCGGGGCCGATAGGCGGAAAAATGATACTCGTCATAGTTGACGCCCACACGAAATGGCTCGAAGCCGTACCTCTGTCACATCCTTCAACGGAAACCACCATTAACTGCTTACGTGCCATTTTCAGTAGGTTTGGGGTACCACGTACAATCGTGTCCGACAACGGGACTCAGTTTTTCAGCCATGATTTTGAGGAATTCGTAGCAAACAACAACATAGTGCACCTCCGATGTGCGCCCTACCACCCCCAGTCTAATGGTGCAGCGGAAAGGGCAGTGCGTACTATAAAAGATGGCCTTCGAAAAATGAGGAGAGGAAAGCTAGAGGAGAATCTGATACGCTTGCTGTTTAACTATCGGAGGACGCCACAAAAGTGCGGTAAATCCCCAGCAGAGTCGCTCTTGGGTTACCAAATACGCTCACGGCTGGACACATGTTTTCCTCCAGCCCTTACAGGATCAAAAGAAGACCAAGAGGACTGGCTGCCGCTACCAGGAAGTGACGTATACGCCCACAATTATGGTGCGGGGAGCAAATGGACGCCTGGCAATGTGAAGGCGACGTCTGGACCGAGAATGGTGACCGTGAACACTCCGGACGGGGTCGTCCAGCGGCATGTTGATCAACTTCGCCCGTGACAGGACTCGCCACCAGTAACAACTGCCACAAGTCTCAGCGAGTCAGACCAAACAACGGAACCGTCGCCTCCGGAAGCGGTAAGCTCGAATGCAGGCATGTCTTCTCGGCTCATCCCTAATGATGCTGGTTCTGCACAACGTGCATCACCGAAGATCACGGCCGTCCCGATGAGTACCGGTGTCGCCCAACAAGCCCTCAGGCGTTCCACAAGAGAACGCAAGACAGTACAACGCTTTCAATTCTAAGGGGGAAGGAATGTTGTGTCTTCGCGGTTTCTGTGTGTGTGTGCGCGCGCACCTGTTGACGCCTCAGCTGGCCGCCTGCACCACATCGGACTTTTACTACTACTACGTGCGCATTGTTATCGGGCTAACACTACGCTGCCTATAAATACGTTATAAATTTTTGAATAAAGGTTCTTTTCATTCTGCTGACTACGTGGATACATTGCTGGTCCGGCGCTACTATGCGCACACCATGGCTATGCTACACCCTAAAACCTGCATCGCTCTTTGCATCTTAAAAATTGATGTGGCAGGCGCGACTGAGTGAGGGTGTGAAGAGATTTGACACCTTTTTTGAATGATTAGACTGTGTCAAATTCCCCCCCCCCCCCTGTCTAACCCCCTATCTTTTCACGTGTAGCACTCCTCGCTCCAAGGTAGTGCGTCTCGACCAAGGTATCGTCTAATTGTCTATGCTGAGGACACAGTCATGCCTTTTCGATCTTGTCCTCCGATATATTTTTGGTGGGCTTGATGTGATTGAAATGTCACTTCACGGCTAAGTTACTCACCCTTCTATATTGGAATATAGACAAACCGAGTTTCATGGTGTTGAGAAGGTTTCAGCTATAGACCCATGGCTTGAGGCCACTCCGCCTAAATTAGTTGATTGGCTTGAAGCAATTTACTCTAACTCACAATAGCTTATGCCAAGCTTGTGCAAAGAAAGATAAATACAGTTGGTCTTGAGCATAGCCACGTTGGCGTACTTACTAGGATTGTGACCGTCTTTGCAGTTCCTGAAGTCGCCATGTTTGCACCAAAGTCCTTTGCCCCAACGGTCATTCGCGACCACTGTGTCTCGAACAGTGCTGCGGGGGACAGAATCACACGTGTACAAAATTACCGTTATTTACTATAGTTTAATAAGTAATGTAGCTTTTTTCAGAGTTTTACACAAGAGGGCGTACAAACAAATATTTCGTTGAAGAAAATAAAAAAAGGAAAATGCCCAAAACAATTCAACCATGGGGATGATAACAGCATAAAAGCATAAAATGAACGCGGCATATATGTGTTCTTGTGGGCGTAGAAAGAAAAATGAAACTAAAAAAACATAAACCAAACAGCTAGAAAAAAATATGGCTCCACCTGTTCGAAAAGAATCGTGTGATAATACGAATGCGTTCTGGTGCTTCCAGAACGGTGTTTCACACGTGAGAAACCAGCGTTAGAAGAATAGTGTTTGTTTTCAGGGGCGAAGCTCCTCTTAGTCTAACCTTGTATTTGATCACGCGTAACCAAGAAAAAAGGAGACGAAAAAGAAAAGAACGCAAAAGAAACGAACAACCTTTCTTGTCTCATTTTCTGGATAGTACTGCTCTGACGCTACTCTCTAAAGTGCCGCTACTCTTCGACTGGCTGCTGTGCACGCTTTGCCCGAATTTGTGGAGAACAAGTGCCTCTCCCGGTCTCCTAGATAGTCGCCGTACCTGGCAGATTGTTAGTGCGGCATGGAGAAATCAGAGCGGCGGGCATGCTGAAGATGCTTGCGCTCGGCTCCCTTCGCTCGCGTCTCGTCGGTGTTACTCGTGCGCCGTCTGCAAGCTAGAACGCGGTCGGGCGCATCGATACATGTACGGACGCACAGACACACGGACGGATGAATGCGCGGACGCTTCGCCCCACTCATCATCATTCACTCTGTGGATATGCTGTGATTTTTTCTTACAACGTGCAGCCGATAGCGCCGGTCACCACATGTGGCGTTCTTCTGCCGAGAAAAACGCGGCATGCACTTCCAGCTTTAGTAGCTAGCGTGACCTGTTAAAAATTTCTATGAAGTAAACAAAACAAACAGCGTTCTCGGCGTTGGCGTTTCACAGCGGCGTCTCGAGCATGCATTTCCGGGTTCTTGAGAGGCGCCCAGCCAGCGCCTCTCAATGGTAGAGAGTGAGGTGCGGTTGGACGAAAAAGTGGGGCGCAGGAGGAGAAAGTGAAGGGCGAGAGAAAGAGCAGCGAATCACTTCATCTACCTTCCCATACACTCTCTCGCACCACATGCTCCGGTTGCTAGGGGCAAGGATAAGCACGCGTGCCCGAAGCTGTTGCTATGGGAGAGGGCGGTGGACGGATCCCGACGGACACCGGACATACCCCGACTATGAAACGCATTACATACAGATAGAAATAGTTTAGGCTTTCTCAGCCACACAGTTTCCATATAAGCGCACTTGTGCCGTTTTATTTACTTTTTCAATATCGGATGTGGAATGGGGGAGTAGCTTGTAGGCAAGTGTATATACAAAACAACATAGCATTAAAAATGAGGAGGTTTTGTGTGTATATACTGAAAATTTTCTCACAAATTCACATTTTGTAATGTTTGGTTAGGTAAAAATACAACTAACCTTAAGTTGAATATATACCCGTTTACACAACGCGGCAAGTATTTCAGGCTATGAATAACATAATGACACAACATATTCATAAGTGTGTGCTACGTAACCTGCCTGGAACAGTGCTTATTCTAACCATCCTATCATCAGTGGTATCCACATCGACATGTTACAAAATATAAAGTGACAGATGTGCTTCATGGTAGGTATCTTGCCAGGGCACAAGGTTATCTAATGCAGCTAGTTGCTGCCTATGTTTCAATATATAAACATAAATTTTCATGTATTTTTCGAGTTCTCGTAAATAATGTGTATCTATCCAATAAGAAAACAAGCTAGCAGTAGCATATGTTAAACATGTTTCCGAACATCAACAAAGTGACATTTCTATTGTTCGTAAATGTACAGCAACAAGCTCGATTTCTCGGAAGAGTACCTTCAATTTAGTTTCCTATGGTGTTTTTGTCTCCCACAATTTATCTATAACTTTGTCAGACGCACCATCCATGTATCCAGAAGCTCCATATCTTTCTTTTTTTTTTTGAGGGAGGGGGGAGGCGCTGTTTTTGTACTAGTGGCAAAACAAAGTACCCAATACATTGTGCATCGAAAAAAATTAGCACTATGTGTAAAAAGGGTCTCTCTTTAAAACCAATATGTTGCACAGAATTGCAGTCAAGCCATTCGGTGAAGTCACAACGATGTTCTGTAATTCTGTCGACGTGCCGTGTTATAAGACAACGTCAGGATTCCTAATTTGTTTTACTCTAAAAATATAACAAAAACAATTGGCACGTATCTACAGCCACAATGTGATTGTGATTATGAATATCTACGAACAAAATATGGCATATTGCAGAATATTGAAATAGTGAATTCGGGGTCAATAAGGATTGCCTACTAAAAGTTGCACAAAATAAAACTTCACGTTGTTTGCTTCATTGCTACGTATTTTCGAGTACCCAAGGGCTATGTGTATGTTATGCGAATGTGACTGAGTGGCAGACAGTCGATTACGTTTGAAGCCTGAAAATGATAGCCACTTTTTCAAGTTGATAATCGGGACATATCGGTAACGGCTGTTGCAGTTTAATGAGCCACATTAATTGGCACTGTTTCCTCTTACCTGTTTGTATAGAGCCAAGCCAGAAACTTGGGGCTCTCCCAGTACGCGTCTGGCGCTTCCCAATCACCGTCTGCCCAAATCACTTCCGGCTCGTACTTGAACACCAGGTCGTGTAGTTCAGGCAATATCTTGAACTGCACGGTACACGATGATACGGTAGTCAATATAATGCGATCAGGTTTTGTCACTCTGTTTCATTTCCATCAATTATTGGCCAATATTACCGTCATATCTGTTAATGTTTTTATTATCTGTCAAAAAGAAGATATGTTTACTCACGTCTCAGTGGTTTTGTCATGCGTCTTTTTTTTTACAACCTTTCTGTTTTATGTTGCCGCCTTGGTTTCCATCATGTCCCACAGAGCCTATTCTATCTTGGCTTCTATGTGCAAATATCTGAGGCCATCCACTGCCTCGACATATACCTTATAGCCACACCCCCTCCCCCTATAGTCTCTTTGACCTGAACATGAACAACGGTCGAACTATCTTAGCGCAACTTCATTTTGTTGATCTCCAGTAATGTATGCTCGGTTACTTTTGTTCCAGTGGTAACTTCGCTGGGATTTCTGTAGCAATGTCAAATTAAAAAAACATGAAAAATACATATTCACTGTGAATAATAAGCAAATCCGAGTGACGGAAGGCTGTTATTGCGCAGCTTCAATTCATTCTATTTGTACTGAAAAGCTATCTTCAGAATGAGCTGAAATGTGTATTTCTCGAATTCAAAACGTGTCATACTGGTTTAAATATATTGTCTAAATTGTCGTCTTGAGCTTACATAGCAGCGGTCAGCTTACTTGTATCGCAGTAATTCGACGCTGGATGCAGCTTTCGAAACTCTTAACTAGCATGGTGGTGTCATGCTGGTATAAACTTACTACAGGCTTTGCACTTTACCGGCAAGCCAGCGGAAAAGTGGCATAACCTATAGATGGCCCGAATAGAAAACTGAAAGTAATGGTGACGAAGACAACAAATAAATATCTGCCTCGCTTCCAGTCAGACGGTAGTGTGTGCTTTAATATATTGCGCAAAGCAACCTGCTCGACTAGTGTGCTGTCCTCAGCAAGTGTGCCCTGTATTGCGCACAACCTCGTATCACTTATAACACATTTAAGTTCACAAATTTGCTCCGCACCAATAATGGATGTGGCACTATGAGTAGCGAATATTGATTGAGATCGCACACTGCAGGGGGATTAATTACGAGTATTGCAAAGGCGTAACTGAAATGAAACTTTAATAGGAAACTAAGTGTTGGCAATCAATTAAAACGAAAGTGCCGAGTACCTCTCAGCAACCCTTTGCCACTACCAGTTTAAAATAATACAGAAACACTCCTAAAGGCTTTCGATGGAGGCAAAAATGGTGTAGGCCTGTGCGCTCAGATTTGGGCGCGCGTTACAGAACCCCCGATGGTCTAACTTTCCGGAGCCCTCCGCTACGGCATCTCTCATAATCGTATGGTGGTTTTGAGATGTTACACCCCACATATCAATCATCAATCACACTCCTATAGAGGGAACTGCCACAGGTCATGCAGATAACACCGAATGCCATACTAGGGAGCACTTGCAGTCCATAGTAACCACATCCATAAAAAAGCCACTGCTGTCGTAATTTAGCTATTACTAAAGCATCTCATTTGAACCCAGGGTTTTATGTATTGATATGCTGAGACCGATCGGCGCCCCTCGATTGGCCGCACGAACCCAGCGCTTCTCGTGTTGAGAGGCGTAACCAAAGCATCGTGCGTTTGGCGCCCTTTTGATAGATGGCGCCACAAGCACAGTGTGATGCGACGAAGGAGCGAGCTGGGTGCAAGGCGCCAAAGCTTAGAATGACCGTGTTGGCGTAATATACGACGTGTCCCACATTGGTAAGTCGCACCGGCCACTGTCGTAAATATATATCTTTGGCGTTGAGAGGCTGTGTACTTCTAGGAATAAGGCTGCGACGGAAACAGGCACTCAAATCAGAACATTAAATTGCGACTTAGAAGTGTGGCAGCTTGGGCTAGTTCTTTCGTGTCCTTCTTGTCCCTGTGTCGTCGTTTTGTTCTCGCGCTATAACTGTCGTCATTAAATTGCGGCTAAGAACACCGAAACAGGCATGTAAGTCAGTCTGAACATCAAATTGTCACTAAGAACTCCTTGAAAGATCGATACATGAGATTCAGTAGTTCTGCAGTCGCCTCTAAATCGGCGAATGTCTCACTCGATGGGACACATTAGCGATGGTATGTAAACCTCACCTGAATCAGCATAGGTCACCTATAATAGTTAACTTAGCTATCCTCACGTAAATACCGTCATGATGCGTTCGACCACTTTTTCCCAAAACACAACAGTAATCTGTTTACCTGACGATGATGGTTATAACGGTTTCCTTGTTTACGCCTTCAAACGCAGTTATATGCTCATACAGTGTCGTGGTTGCAATTTCAAGGGGACTTCCAAGTAAAAAGAAACAATGGAAAAAAGCAAGCGGGCAGTAAACTCTATGCCATCAATACTGAGAGATGTGGCTCGCTTCAATGCATCACGTAACAGGATAAATCATACTGTCAGAAATAGATGAAGTATGTCATCTTCGTATGCAAAGTACCTAAAATGCTTTGGAATAATAGTTTTCGCAAAAGCTGCATATTTAATTAAAGTTGTGTTCTTTGGAAACACGACATAAGGGCAATAACCGCATTTCGGGATCTTGCGGCAACGTGTAAATAAATGATGTGCTTAGTTCTTGTGATGACATTATTATTTAGTGAAAAAGTGTGACGCGCTTGTAATAAGTGCACCAATTACCATACTTCAGACAGCCCTGCTCTGACATAATATCTGAAACAGTTGAACTATAGGGGTACTATCTGATCGGCGCTACTACATACTTTGGCCTGCTGTTTTTATAGCCTTCGAAAAACCAAAACTGACATAAACATATTTTCTCTGATTAACAGACGGCATATATTTAAACTATTTTTTTCATGAAGATCATGTTGTGAATATTGATGAATAAGAGAGAAGCCTCCATGCAAGATTTTCTTATTCATATATGCGTATTAGTTCAGGACGCGTTGTCGAAATGACCTCTCCGCTTCTCTCATCGTTTCAAACTAATTTATTTTTCAACAACTGTTGCTTCGAGTGCTCCTCAATATAGCCTTTTGGGAGCTGCAGTTCGGAAAGATCCTGTGTCATAGCGTTGTGGTGTACAGGTAGACACAACCAACACTTTATTCGTGCACTCACGTGAATGAACTCGTTTGTCTTGAAGTTGTTCTCCCTGTCGTCCATAAAGAGTGGATTGAACCACTCGTAGAGGGAGTAGTAGACGCCCAGCCGAATGTTAGTGCTCGTCTTCAACGCCTTCGCGAACTCACCTGCGTATGTGACATCAAGAATTCGAGAGAGAGAAATAAATAGATAGATAGATAGATAGATAGATAGATAGATAGATAGATAGATAGATAGATAGATAGATAGATAGATAGATAGATAGATAGATAGATAGATAGATAGATAGATAGATAGATAGATAGATAGATAGAGTACTATACAGAATGAGAAAAAATCACATGAGCTCTACACGCTGCAAACGAGAGTAGGCCTATTATACTCAACCATCAAGTGTTACTCTTTTGTTTTTTCTCGCGAGTAAGACACTATTCTTTAGGCACGACTGCTAATTATTTATATGAATATTAAGCAGGCAAGCTGTCGTGTTACCTAAGAGATCCCGCTTCGGTCCGACGTCAACCGAGTTCCAGTTCCACGAACGCTTTGAAGGCCATAGTGTGTAGCCCTCGAAGTGCTTCGCCGTGAATACAGCGTACCTGCACAGGATATGTAAAGGTGGACGAGTCGTTCGGCACTCCTGTGGAAATGACCGATCACGAAATGGGACTTTCAGATAGCTTGCTACTATAGACCACCCCGTAAATATGAAATTTTTCAGGGGAGAAGGTGTTTTAGAAGGTGTTGAGAAACACATAATTTCATTCTTCTTCCTGATAAAAGGTTTCTTCTCCCTTGACCCGAATTATGAGGAGGAGGGCTGGGGCACGCCACGGGCCTGGAACAAAAGCTAGTAATTGCCTTAATACTTAAAGCTTTCTACTGAAATCTTCACCTATACTTCTTGAGCGACGATAACATAAAATATACATGTTTGTGTATGTGTGTGTGTGTGCATTTGTGTGTGCATTCGTGTGTGTGTGCGTTTGTGTGTGTGCGTGTGCATGCGTGTGTTAGCTCGTCATTGACACATAACAAAGAAGTGTAATCCCGTCTGTGGCAAAGGTTGTATTAGGTGTATGACTATGTAGTTGCAAGAGCTTGATCCACCTTTAAGCAGGAACCTGAAAACTAGTTCTCGTGTTTGCCCCAGACGCTGCATGGAATGCCAATCAACTGAGCTGTGTGATCCCACGACCATTTCGTGCTGGGAAAAGGCGAGTAATGAGTGGAAGGTTTTAGAAATCCTTGACTTTTTCAAACATTACGATTATTATGTCCACGATGCTTCTTTGTCTGTGATGTTAATATATCTCACATGCTTAGAAGAAAACTAAGTGTGATGGGTCGTGCATCCTGGGGAGTAACGCTAATGCGCACGCGTAATGTAGTTTTAAATGAAGCAAAGTTGTAAGTTCAGCGCTCCTCCCCGTCATACGCCTTTTACTTGTGCACTTGTCCCGCTGTTTGTTGGTACCCCATTTTCGAGCTCGTGTAATTACCTCACTCCCGACTTGACCAGCAGATCTACCCATCGTTCGGCGTTGTAGAGCTCGCAGGTGAAGGCGGTGGCAAACTCTTGATAGGTGACATTGGGCCTGTAGTTAGCGCGCATGAAGTCCGAGAACAGGCTGTTCTGACGGCCCTTCCAGTGGTACCAGAGCCACTCGGACCCGAAGCTTGGTACTGAGAACACGCCCCAGTAGAGGAGCACACCCACCTGGTGACGAGCATGCCCAGTGGAACATTCAGTATCGTACACGTTAAGGTACTAACAACGACTGGTGGGTTATAATTGGTATTGGCTATAGGTTGCTTGCCCTCAAACAGGAGATATGAGTGATGTCAGCAATAGCGCCGAGTGTGGCTTTAGGCAAGATCTGCATCCCAACTGACAATATTTCTTTTCAATTAGTTGGCTTTCTACATTGGTTGGCTGATTCAGCCTATATAGATATCGGCTGAAATGTTATCCTAGGATGGTTTTTAACAGAAGTTTTTGCGAATACGGGCCCTGCTTCATATGCGTTCATACCGACAATATACCTTTATGAATAACATGAAGTAATTTTTTAGATATTTCATTATTGTGCGTTTGTGAAAACCAGAATGTTTCCCAAGTCATAATTGTGTTTTATTTTTCAATTCTGTGCGAATACATACACTGATTTCACGGCCACACGAGCTAAAGGTGTGTGATTTGCCATGGTATCTAGCAGTATTTGTGTTGTGGTTCTAAGCAGTATATGCCTAAGGCGACGCTTGGTTTCCAAGCTCGGACGCGGTAATTTTCTCCAACGTGTCAAGTCTAGGGAAGTGGTGCAGTGCACACATAGCACAATGTGCTTTTCGCTGTGTTCCCTGCCACGTTTCTCGGCATGCTCATGGTAGTGCTAAGTCATGTCGTGTGTGTTAAATGTCCCTCTTCTTTTTTGCACTGTTATACAATAGTGTTCGCGAACCAACCAGCCCACCTAAGAACCCTCGTGCCGACGGTACGCACCTTGGCCTGGTCATACCACTGAGGTAGAGGCCTGGTGTCTAGGTGGTCCCAGCGCGCGTAATACTCGTTCGTCGAGCTCGCCGAAGCCGTGACGAGAAGCGTCAGTGGTAGCAGCCGGCCTAAGTTAAGGATCGCCATTTTGTCCGTCTTCCAACGGCGGTCCCTCGTTACACGCGTGACGCGTCCGGGACCGTGGCTGCATTTGCCGTAATTTATGGAGAGAGAAAACCACAACGCACTCCGCAGCGAAATAACAGTGAAAAGTAATGCTGAAATTGATTATATTTAAGCATGGAATATGGTTGGTATATAGTAAATCTTGAAAGACGCTTGAGTTCCGCCTACAGAGTAGAACGCCATGAAGTATATGCGCGACTCGCATCGCATTCTCATTCGCTTACCAGGCATCTTGGTGGGTGCATCAACTGGGCTGCGACAAAGGAAACGTCGGCGGCGCGTAGCAATCGTAAAGTGCCTTGTTCAGGTAAAGTTGCTAGCTGCCCACTACGTAACAATTTGACATTAAGCCAATTCGCCAACTACCCCTTACGCCTGTATACGCGCGCTTGTGCAGCTGTACGCCTAGGTGATGCTGTTACGAATGGTAACACTTATATTTGAGCAATTCGTAATGGGTGGTCATTTATATAACCAACTTGTTGCTGAATTCACATAGTATGACGCATGGTTCGATTCTTTGCTTCTGACACACGATATCACATGCTCTCATGCGACCCTCAAAGTGGATGACATTTGTATTTCTTTCTCTTTTTGTTTTCGAAAGAGTTGGAAGAAGTAGTGAGTTTTTTTTATTGATAGAATGCCTGCTTCCCACGCAGAAGTCGTGGCTTAGATTCCAGCTCAGAGCTATGTTTGCATTTATCACGACTTTTCCTTCGCGGACCACGATGACAATAAGCTCGCAACCAAGGACGCCGACACGGAATTTTTTTCGCGCAACAAGCTATTTAACGTTATCGCGTTGAAATCGCACGACAGGTAGTACATCTTTTGTCTGGTCGTCCATCGTGCTGGTTGCGCAGTCACATCGGACTGGACTCATCGCCTTTCAGCTATAGCGACAAAGTGCGGAGTGAGCAATTAATGGAAGGCGTCAAGGTAACGTGAAGCAGCGGTCATAGTAAATAAGCGAAATCAACCACCCACCGGTTGGCCGCGGCGTTTCTTCGGTGAACCCCACCGCAGATACCAGTACGAAGTAGCTTCTTCTTCTTTGTTTTCTACAAAGTGTCTGGCTGCCCTTAAACCGGAAATCTTTCATACTGATTCTCGCTAAGGTATTTTTCTCCGTACAGAAAAACTAATAGAAAAAAGAGGAACTTTTAAACAAGGGTGATGGCTTCAAGTGTAAAGGCTGTACTAATTTTCGGTCGATACAGAAAACCTGCCGTGTTAGTAGATAGTGGCGTTGACGCTTGATTTGCGTGAATATCGTTTGAATTCACGTTACGAAGTGGGTGCTACCATTCTCGCGAACCACCGCAACGTTACTCTACGTGCAAGTGTAACGTGTGCATTCAACATTTCCTCTTTTAAGTAATATAACTAATCATGTCTATGCGGAAAAATTACCTGATCAAGAGGACGGCTCTTGTACTCATGATTATAACATCTGACACTGACACAGAATCGCACAATAAAAGATCGGTTGTACAATTAAAATCTAACGACAATATATATAAATATAAGGCAGGAGGCACAAAAAACGCAAATTAACGTAAGTTTCTTCAGTCTCACTGAGCGGTAATGCATAAGAACTTTACCAGATGAGACCATTCTGCCTTTGTTTTATTTTCTCTCCTAATAACTTCTGGCTCATACCAATTAGGGGGTTCGGCACACTTTCCATTCATAGGTTCAAACGATATAAGCGCTACACAACATTCAAGACTGCTTCTTCTTCACCTCTTTTCATGACTCTTACCCAATGCAGGGTATTGGCCGAGTGTTAGGTGAATTTCTTTTGAATTTTTTGAAATACTTCTCGTATAAGGAAGAAATAGTTACAACAACAAAATTAATTATGGTATATTAGTATTGAAATGTATTGAAAGGAACTGAAAGACTTTTGCGTCGCCACACCAGCATTGCACTTCCTCTTTGTTAGCCTGCTGTGCTCATCTGGAGGGCAGCTCTAACGACGTTAAGTTCTCCCACTCTGAGAACGGGAGAACCTCGTGTTAAAGCAGAGGCATAATGGCTGCTAATATACAAACTATAGGTATAAAAATAGTACTGCAATTGTTGTGCAATTTCAGGAAATCTTAAGTTTCGCTGAAGATGCTTTTGCCGCCGTGTGCGTGGTATATTTTAAGGGGTGAAGCTCCTTAGGTGGTGGGTCTGTCTGTCCTCCGATGCTGTATGAAGCCACTGGTGGCGCATACTCGAAAGAGCAGTCCCTAGAATGTCCGCTGGATGGCGGCACTAGTACATGAAGAATACATGATGAAAAGATGCGAGATGGCTGTACTTGGAGTGTTCATTAGATAGACGGACGGTCAGACATACGGACGCGCAGACAGGCAGAGAGGTGGACGCACTGACGGACGGGTGGACGGACAGACAGAGGGACGGCCGCAGGTACAGATGGGTAGATGGACAGATGGAAGAATGGGCGTACGGACAGACGCATGGAGGGATGGATGCACTGTCGGTCACACGGATAGACGGACATATGGACGGGCGCACGGATGGACGCATGGATGGACGGAAGCAAGAAGGAATGGGCGGACGAAAGCACGGATGGACTGCCGAACGCTTCGCCCCACCAATCATCATTTCCTCGGTGAATTTTTTTGTGCCCGATACCTCCCCCTTCCATTCCCACGTGTAGCAAATCGGCTATCCTGCACTGGTTACGTCCCTAAGGGTCCTTCCCTATCATTGCTTCTTTTTTTTGCACCGAATACGTGCCATCATCATGAAAACTGCGCGTGGCGCGCGTATGTAGTCCCGGAGTGCTCAGATAAAGAGGAAGACGAACTCGGCCGTTATTCTCGCCATCAACAGCGTTTGATTTTCACCGGCGATCCAGGTGTAAACATGCGGGACCCGATGTATTTCGAGAACTACGGCACTGCTCTGGACTTCGAGGTGGCCAACAAGGGCGAAAAGGTTCTGGTTCCCAACTTTCTGGTGAGAATGCTCGGTGATCAAATTTGACGCGACTAGCTCAATTTAAGTGGACGCGCTCAGCATTTAACCACTGTGGTAATCGCAAACTCCCTTCCAAATGTATTCAGAAACAGGGTCTCGCTTCCAAGTGCCGTATTAAAACAGAGGAGCTTGTTTGATAATAACACGCGTAGAAGCTATTTAAATTCAAGCCAGCGTAAATGAACAGATATATCGTCCCTGAAGCTTTCTTAACATACATCCGTGATTCTAAGTGTACAAACCAGACATACTGGAATGTCCATGCTGACTTGAGAGTCCGGGTTAAAGAAGGCTCCAAATATGCTAATTCAGAGCTTCATAACATAAAGTGGACTGATGTTTATTAAAAATAAACAGAAAAAGTCACAACATTTCCGCAAAGGCGAAGCAATGAACGCGATGGCACCAAATCGGAAGGTGATGGGCAGAATGGCAAGCATATTGAAATGTGCCCCACGTTTCCCACGCACAAATGACGCATCAAACGTACTCGCAAGTACAGATAAACGCAAATAAGCGTCTCAGTTGTTACTTCTCTGTGTCTGAAAAGCACGCCCTTTTCGCACACGGAGGCCGTGCAACGATTGCAGTGACTTTTTTGCTCCCCGAAACTACAACAGAATCGTTCCACTGCAAGCCTAACGCCAGCCAAGACGTATGATCCTCCCCACTGGGAGTTAACGGCGCGCGAGAGATCGTTCACTCACCTTCTTTCGGTGGGCCAAACTACGCGTGATAGATGAGGGCCGCCACACACGCTCATTGCGCCATCTTCCTGATAATGCTGAAAACACAGTATTCCCCCACCCTCTTTTCCTCGAGATGCCCGCTAAGAGCGGTTAGTGGTATATGTAAATAGCTTGCCGTTTGAACGTGAAGGTGGTACCCCTCGGTGACAGAGTGATTAACCCCACGCATTCACGACGTGGGGGTCCCACGTTCGATTCGACGTGCCGGGGTCTTTTTTTTCTTTCTTTATTTTCATATATATAGTACGTATACATACACGATGCATGACATCGACACTGACGCCCACGCCGGAGGTTAAATCTAGCCGAGAGTTTCCATATAATTGCTATCGCAATAAAAAGCACCCACACTGGTAACCGTTTGGCTGCGCAGACAGGGCAGTGTAGGAGGAGCTGCGTAGATATGATAAAATACGACAAAGCGACCCTTAACAATAGGAAATGGCTTTCTGCGGAAAATAAGCGCACCTGAAATAGGCGATATTTGGGGTAGAAAGGTATGATGTCCCTCTTAGCTCCACGGTTTCTTAAAATACTGACTAGAGAGCGCTGCACCACTGAGATCATTCAACCATCATTAGAACAATGGACTTGGCCAGTCATGCTTGCGGTTTTGCTTATGTACGGCTTTGCTTATTGTATTTTATGTTTCCCTTTGTGTAAAGAAAAGGACAGTGGTCTGTTGTGAACCTGTAAAGCTCATTCAAACCTCTGCGTAAATCGGTCACGATGGTGATACCTACCGGTAAACAGATTGATGAACTTCGTTTCTAGACAAAGGTGCTGTAGGTGAACCGAAGTCGCATGGAACCAAGAGAAGAGCTCATGGAAACCACTGTACTGCACATCATTCTTATACTAATGGAAGTGCCATGCCTTGCAGCTCCTGCAGCCGCTTTTGCCAGATTTCGCTGTTTATGACCCGCGACGTAGCACAAAAGGGTGGGGCCACTGCTTAAGCATGACCTTATTTCCACATGTTCGTGGTAGTACCCCTTCTGTTTGTCACACACCGCCTGGCGCAGTCGTTCCTTGAAAAACGGGATTCTGGAAGTGTTGTGGTTGCACATTCACTTCCCTTTGGTCTTTTGCAGGTCAACACGCTAGGCGCCATTGTAGTACTGATCACGTGCGTCGTCGTCGCCAGCGTTGGCGTCGCCTCGTTTCGCGGTGCCAAGCGCCAGCATGTGGTCACCTCAGAAGCATCGACGACGGTGCTGTGGCCGGACCCCATCGATAAGCTTGATCATCAAATGGCCGAAGAGTGGCGCACGTACATGCCGAGCCCCAGGCCCATCCTCTGCTTCCTCAACCGCGAGGGATTTCTCAGGTGTGATTCTGTGTTTCTTAAGCGTGCTTGTTATGAGTTGTAGATTTCATTGGCTGCAGGGTGCGCGAAAGGCCAGGTGCCTGATAAAGGACAAAAATGCGGCTCTCGATGTTGCACTGGTCACATGCGCATATGTATACTCCGTTTCATGACGTTGAAGCGATTGTAGAAGCGCGACTGTGGGTGATGTAAGTGGAAATTTTCATAAACTACCAGTGGGTACAGGTTAGCTAGAAAGGGGGCCTCTAATTGCTGTTGCACAATAGCTCTCCTTACACGACTTTTTCACGGCCTATAACATTATTAAGTTTTTTGTAAAGATCGAATATCTGTTAAATTCGTACCTTGTTCTCTTTGTAAAGGCCACCTCCGGACACATTTTTATTGCGCCAGTTCCCGGGCTTCTACGGAAACCGCGCAGCTAGGTTCGGCGACGGGCCGCTCGCGTGACTGCTCACATGACTCATGCGGAAACTTTCCTTTCTGGGGTTCCGTCGACCCGCCGACAAGGTCACTTGAGAGTTCACCGCATGGAACCAGGTCAAGCTTCCGCGAAAGCTTTCGCGCTTGCGATCGCGTGAGAGCCATGCACGCTAAGTTGGGGAAGAACGATTTGCCCTGCTCTTTGAGAAGCTGCTCCGAGTTGTTGGAGAAAAGATAAAGAAAACGATCATTTAGCGCGGCAGACACAGCCGCTTCGGTGCGAAGCTCACCGAACGGGCCTTTAATGACAACCTTGGCGATTGGTAAGCGAACACTCTGCTCCTCGACGACCTGCCTGATCCACGCGCATTCTCCTGTGAAGTCATCCGGAGACACCAATGGAGGATGGACAACGTCCATGGTTGCCGCTGAGTCTCTAAGTGCTCGGCACGTTTTCTTATTCACCCTAATTTCTTGGAGATACGGCTCCAACAACCGAATGTTTTTTTCTGATTCTCGGATCGTTGCGAAGGCAAACTTTTCCTGACAGTTTCTAGCGATGTGCCCTTCCTTTTTACAGTTGTAGCAGATTAGCGGCTTCCGTTGTTTTCCGATTCAAATGCCTGTGTGGTAGAAACCTCACTCGATTTCTCCGCTTCTGTTTGCCCTTCCCCTACACTGTCCTTCGTAAGAGACGGGTCCTTTTTGAAATTACGGTGCGGAACGGGTTTCCGTTGATCAGGTTTTCTTGAAAAGCCCTCTTTCCTTTCATCCTTTTCAACGCGCGCTGCCCTGCTATGCAACTTTCGGCGAGTATAATACTCCTCAGCTAACTCAGCTGCCTTGTTTAACCGTACTTCCCCAAGTCTGTCCTGCAGCCAAAGTTTGACATCCTCCTCGATGCAGCGGTAGAATTGCTCCAATGCAACGCATTCCACCACTTTATCGCGGTCGTCATACACACCTTCGCCCTTGAGCCACTCAATTAAATCGGCTTTAAGACGAAACGCGAAGTCAACGTGTGACTCATTCCCCTTTTCAGCATACCGGAACCTTTGCCTGAAAGCCTCGGGTGACAACTTATAACGTCTCAAGAGCACTTCCTTAACCTCGTCATAGCTCTCAAACGCTTCCCTCGACAAGCAAGTTATCGCGTCGGACACTTCGCCGGGAAGAAGAGCTAACAGGTTCTGCGCCCAAAGAGACCGCTCCAAAGCGTTTCGCTCACAGACGTGTTCAAACTTGACGAGATACTTCGCCATGTCCTCGCCTACTACGAACGGTGGCAGTTGGTCCCGAATTCTAAAACCGCTGACCTGAACTGTTGGAGAAGCTACGCTAGGCGCCTGCGAACACTGTAGGATTGCCAATTCTAGTCGTTTCAACTCTAGGCGCTCTTGTCTCTCGGCCTCCTCGCGACGTTCGCGCCTTTCAGCTTCTTCACGTTCGCGAGCTTCTACTTCTCGCCTTTCAGCCTCCTCACGGCGTGCTTTAATATCCACCCAGGCCTCATCGACTTCCTCAGCCGACACTCCCTCATCCTTCATGATCTCAAGGATCGCTTGCTTTCGTTTCGCACGGCCCAAAGTAATGCCGAGTTCCTCACAAATTTCGATGAGTTCCTTCACTTTAAGGTTCTCCATCGTTCACACTAGCCTCTTGCTGTTTGCCCCTGTTAACAATTTACTTGCCGTACCCACTATAAGTCAACTAGCAAGACGCGCAAGCAATTTTTCACTCTCCCGTGTTTACCCCCTCCGCATTAACTTTGGTTTCAAAGCACTTCGACTTTGCTTGAAACGATCAAAGCTCACTCTAATGCTTCACACAGCCCTTCTCTAAACTACTACAACCTGAGCTAGAGTAGTCTGGTGAACTGAGGGGAAAACATCAGGCACTCACCGCATCGGTGTCGCTGACGCCGGCCGATCCCGCAGCTGCCAACCACTGTTGCGAAAGACGGCGATGCCAACACGGTCCCAAGGCGCCACTGCTTTCAACTCCGCCGGGAAGGTCACCAGCCGTTTGGTAGCGTATGTATCTCAGCTCGCGACTGCTTCTGCGCCGAGCTGATAAGACGAGCGGACGAGACGACGGTGAGTTAAACAAGGTTTATGTACAGCATATATACAGAGGCGTTACAATTTCGCCACTGGGGCCGACAGAGACTCGAAGAGCCGAGCTCTCCTCTCTAACACATAGGTCAGCCTTTCGCCTAAGACCGCTGACTCACACACATGTCGGCACTCCGACATGGGGACTCCTCTCTCGTAGGACTGCCGATCGCGACGCGCCGCAGAGCTTCTTTTATTTACACCGGGTCCAACCAAAATGTCCAATCAGAAGCGCCGCTGGTCGTCAGCGCAGATTCTTCCAATGGGGTTGCCGCGCCATGCGTCAGACCACCAGACACGAGAACGCCGGCTCGCTGTCACGTGCGCCGCTGACTCAATGCACGTGGGCGAGAGAGGCGCCGCGCGTGTTCACGCCGTTGAGATGTTCGCGTCAGGCAGACTGCGGGCTGGCCTTGACCCAGATTGCCTTTTTCAGAGGCACGGACGTTCGACGAGGACTCGCTGGCATAACAATACCCAGAAGAGCGGTCCTTAGAATGTCCGCTGGATGGCGGCACTTGTATATGATGAATAGATGATGAAAATATGTGAAATCGCTGTACTTGGAGCGTTCAGTAGATAGACAGATGGACGAAAGGACATACAGATAGATGGATGGACTGACAGACGCACAGACATACAGAGAAGCGGACGCATGGACGAACGGATGGATCGACAGACAGACAGACAGACAGACAGACAGACAGACAGACAGACAGACAGACAGAGGGAGGACCGCAAGAACAGACGTGCGGACGGACGGACGGAAGAACAGAGACGCACGGAAGGACATATGCACCGATGGTCACACGGATGGACAGACACATGGATGGAAGCAATAACGAATGGGCGGAAGAAAGCATGGACGGACTGAAGAACGCTTCGCCCCATCAATCATCATTCACTTCGCGGATATGCTGTGATATTTTGTTTGTTTTTTGTTGGATAACTCCTCCCTTCTATTTTAACGTGTAGAGTGGCAAATTGGCTATCCTGGACTGGCTAACCTCTCTACGGGACCTTCCCTAACATATCTTCTTTTTTTCGTACCGTATACGGGCCATCATCATGAAAACTGCGCGTGGCGCGCGTATGTAGTCCCGGAGTGCTCAGATAAAGAGGAAGACGAACGCGGCCGTTATTCTCGCCATCTACAGCGTTTGATTTTCACCGGAGATCCAGGTGTAAACATGCGGGACCCGATGTATTTCGAGAACTACGGCACTGCTCTGGACTTCGAGGTGGCCAACAAGGGTGAAAAGGTTCTGGTTCCCAACTTTCTGGTGAGAACGCTCGGTGGTCACATTTGACGCGACTAGCTCAATTTAAGTGGACGCGTTCAGCGTTCAACCACTGTGATAATCGCAAACTACCTTCCAAAAGTATTCAGAAACAGGGTCTCACTTCTAAGTACTGTATTAAAACCGAGGAGCTTGTTTGATAATAACAGGCGTAGAGCCTATTTAAGTTCAAGCCAGCGTAAATGAACAGATATATCGTCCCTGTTGTGAAGCGCTCCTCTGACGACGTTACGAAGGGCGCCACGAATCTCACCGTCGCAACCACTGTTTCGAAAGACGGTGACGCCAACACGGTCCCGAAGGCGCCACTGCTTCGGACTCCGCCGGGAAGGTCACCAGCCGTTTGGTATCGTAGGTTTCTCAGCTCGCGACTGCTTCTGCGCAGAGCTGATAGACGAGCGGACGAGACGACGGGGAGTTAAACAAGGTTTATGTACAGCATATATACAGAGGCGTTACAAATTCGGCACTGGGGCCGGCAGCTTAGAGACCCGAAGAGCCAAGCTCTCCTCTCTAACACACATAGGTCTGCTGCTAACACATAGCACAACTGCTCGCGACGCGCTGCAGGGCTTCTTTTATATGCACCCGGTGGATTCTTTGAGTAACCAAACGTCCAGCCAGAAGCGCCGCTGTTCGTGAGGTCAGACTCCTCCAATGGGGTCGCCGCTGGGCCACGTCATTCTCATCGAATCTGGAGCCGTTGCGCTGCACGTGGCTGCACCCAAGGACGAGTGACGTCGCCACGCATTGCGCCAGACTCGCCAGACAGGAAGGCGCCGACTCGCTCGCTGAGGTGACTCACTGCACGTGCACGGCAGAAAGGCGCCGTCGCGTGATGACGCCGTAGAGTTGTTCATCGCGTCAGGCGGGCCCACGTGCTGGCCCCGACACAGATTGCCCCCTTCAGAGGCATGGACGTTCGCTGTGGACCCGCAGGCATAATATCCCTGAAGCTTTCTTAACATACATCCGTGATTACAAGTGTACACACCAGACATACTGGAATGTCCATGCTCACTTGAGAGTCCGGATTAAAGAAGGCAAAAATTACGCTCATTCAGAGCTTCATAAGATAAAGTGGACTGATGTTTATTAAAAATTATAAAGAAAACGCCACAGCATTTCCGCAAAGGCGAAGCAATGAACGCGATGGCACCGAATTGGAAGGTGACGAGCAGAATGACAAGCTTATGAAAACGTGCCCCACGTTTCTCACGCACAAATGACGCATGAAACGTACTCGCAAGTACAGATAAACGCGCATAAGCGTCTCAGTTGTTATTTCGCTGTGCCTGAAAAGCATGCCCTTTTCGCACAGAAGGCTGTGCAACGATTGCAGTGACTTTTTTGCACCCCGTAACTACAACAGAATCGTTCCAGTGCAAGGCTAACGCCATCCAAGACGTATGATCCTCCCCACTGAGAGATAAGGGCGTGCGAGAGATCATTCACTCCCCTTCTCTCCGCGGGCCAAAGTACGCGTGAGAGGCGAGAGCGGCTGCGCGAGCTCATCGCGCCATCTTGCAGATAATGCTGAAAACGCGGTATCCCCCCCCCCTCTCTTCTCCCCGAGATTCCCGCTAAGAGCGGTAACTGGTAGATATAAATAGCTTGCCGTTAGAGCGTTGAATGAAATACTTCTCAGTGGCTGAGTGATTAACGCCTCGCATTTACGACGCGGAGGTCCCACGTTCGATTCGACGTGCCGGAGTCTTTTTTTCCTTGTTTCGTTTTCTTATATATGGTGCGTATACATATACAGTGCATGACATCTACTTTATTTAATGCCATCTCAGAAGATAGTGATTTTCAAGAAAAAAAAGTTATGTTTGTTATGTTCACGTTCAAGTGCTGCGCCCAACTGCTTGTGATGTATACGCGAGCACTACTCAACACGGCCGTGCGGCACCGTTTCCAAATTTTCTTGCACCCTAACTCTTGGCATACAGCGTAAGACAAATTGCAGGCAGCGAATACAAGGTTTTGATGCGGCAGATGCAGTGAGCAGTACCCAAAAGTATTGAAGCTGAACTTTCACACGGAAGCGCTGAATACAATCTGTTGTAAGCGGCATTCTCTTGCGCGTGTGCGAAATCGTTATCTTGGGTCGCTTGTTAATTTCCATTACTTCACAATTCTCGGGTATTTATTTCAATGAAGCAAAAATTTCAAATTTTTTTCAGCTTAATGACTGACACTATCTTAACTTCTACTAATATTGGGAAACAATCCCACAAAAAGGTACGTTGATAGAATAATCCGAGAGCGAGCTAGTTTTGGGGTAGAAAGGTATGACCTCTCTATTGAAGCGAGACGACGCCCCCGGGAGGGCTCAAACCTACAACCTTTCGGTTAACAGGATGACGTCTCTCTTAGTTCTACGGTTTCTAAAAATACTGACTAGAGAGCGCTGCACCACCGAGATCGTCCAGCCATCATTAGAACAATGGACTTAATCAGTCATGCTTGCGGCTTTTAATGCGCATACGAATGGCTTTGTTTGGCGGTATGTATTGCTTTGCTTATTGTGTTTTATGTTTTATTTTGTGGAAAGAAAAGGACAGTGGTGTGTTGTGAAGCTGTAAAGCTCATTCAAACCTCTGCGTAAATCGGTCATGATGGTGATAGCGGTAAACTGATCGATGAACTTCGTTTCTAGACAAAGTTGCTGTAGGTGAACCGAAGTCGCATGGAACAAGAGAAGAGTTGATGGAAATCACTGTACTGCACATCATTCTTATACTAAAGGAATCGCCATGCCCCGCAGCTCCTGCAGCCACTTTTACCAGATTTCGCTGTCTATGGCACTCGACATAGCACACAAGGTTGGGGCCGCTACTTAAGCATGACCTATTTCCACATGTTCTTGGTAGTATCTCTTTTGTTTGTCACACACCGCCAGACGCAGTCGTCCTTTGCAAGACAGGATTTTGGAAGTGTGGTGGTTGCACATTCGCTTCCCTTTGGCCTTTTGCAGGTCAACACGCTAGGCGCCATTGTAGTTCTGATCACGTGCGTCGTCGTCGCCAGCGTTGGCGTCGCCTCGTTTCGCGGTGCCAAGCGCCAGCATGTGGTCACCTCAGAAGCATCGACGACGGTGCTGTGGCTGGACCCCATCGATAAGCTTGACCATCAGATGGCCGAAGAGTGGCGCACGTACATGCCGAGCCCCAGGCCCATCCTCTGCTTCCTCAATCGCGAGGGATTTCTCAGGTGTGATTCTGTGTTTCTCAAGCGTGCTTGTTATGAGTTGCAGATTTCATTTGCTGCAGGGTGCGCGAAAAGCCAGGTGCCTGATATAGGACAACAATGCGGCTTTCGATGTTGCACTGGTCACTTGGGCATATGTACACGCCGTTTCATGACCTTGGAGTGATCGTAGAAGCGCGACTGTGGTGATGTAAGCGGAAATTTCATAAACGACCAGTGGGTACAGGTTAGCTAGACAGGGTGCCTCTATATTTGCTGTGGCACAATCGCTCTCTTTACACGACTTTTTGACGGTCTTAACACTATTACGTTTTTTGTAAGGATCGAATATTTCTCAACTTCGTACCTTGTTCTCTTTGTAAAGGCCACCTCCAGACACATTGATACTGCGCCAGTTCCCGGGCTTCTACTGCAACGAGATCGTGTACAACGGGGTTACCTTGGACAATGCCACTCTTCAACCCCTGGCTGACGCCACGGACGACGCCGTAATTTACCACCTCGACCAAGTGCGCAACGCCTTTTACCCCCACTGGAAGATCGTCGTCAACATCTTCGTCGGGGAATATGCGGCGAAGAAAATGCTGGGTGGACAAGAAAAGTTGTTTGGCTCCCTATTCGCCTGGCTAGAGCGTCACCGCGCCGTTGACGGCGTCAACTTTGACTTTGCCGACGACGCCTTTTTCAGAGATGCGGACGCGTCCAGCGATGCCGTCTCCCTCTTCGCCTCGGCCAAGGCGGATCCGCGTTGGGGCAACCGCACCCTGTCCGCCATGATGCCGTACGCGGCGACGGTTCTTCTGCACGAGGAGCTGTCCCTCACCATCGACCGCGTCCTCGTGAAGACCCACAATCTCCTGAACAAGACATCGGTGACGACGCAGCTGGCTGCACCGCTTGACTACGCCGGCTCAGCGCACCGTCTCCCCAACCACCGCACGATCATGGGTCGCCTCGAAGGACTGGAAGACAACCTGGGGAAGAAGACATGTTTCACGATCGCCCTTTCGGGAACCGTTTTCACGCTTAAGTAAGTCATCTCTACCCATGAGCATCTTTGTTACAGCGTCTACGAAATTTTGCTTCCACGTGACTGACAACAGAGCATTACTAATTTTGGCGACTACCCTTCATGGCGGGCCAGTAGCTACGGTTCTCAGCAGGGAAACTGAAGGGGGCGGGTTTGTCTATGGCCGTTACGATTGAATTCTGGTGTAGATGAAATGGTTTAGGCCTATATGTACTGTGCGATGTCATCTCACGGTAAAGAATGCCAGATGCTTAAAATTTCTAGAGCCCTCCACTACGGCGCTCAAAATAGTGGTATTGCGGTTTTGAGACGCTAAACCCTATATGTTATTATAAAACGATGGTTCGGGCTACTTGACAGACATTCTTGCAACATTTGCTGGCACATCTATTAAGAAAGTAGGATATAAATAAACAGAAAGTAGCTTGTGTCTGTTTACTCATATCTCATATTATGTGGTGGTGCGCAACTAACTTTACCTCGAACAACGGAAAGTAGACGCGTGCTTTACGCATACTTAAGAACAAAACTGACAGGCGCAAGAGAGATACTTATCAGTTCTAGGATATAAGTGCGCCGTAATCATTAATCAATCTTCCGTGAAATGGCCCTTGCGCCACAAAACATCAAACATAATCATCCTCGTAATCATTCTTTATTAACGCAGTATTTTTTGTTCATCACGAGATGTTCAGTTTTTGTGTGGTAAGGAAGTAGGAGTTGCTAAAAAACAAGTGCTGTTGATCCTTAGTTCTGAAAGAAAATAATAAAATAACATTCACCTTTATTTTGATGCTGTAAAGACCGTGGTCGCAGAAAAACACTGGAAAATAATCTCGCCTAATATAAATACTGAAACATTTATTCTATACTTTGCTGAATGACTTGAGAACAGCTTGATTCACAAATGGCAGCTCAATTCGGCGTGCCATACTTTCTTCAGCTGTGTTTTTTATTACAACCTAATGCTAATATTATAAAACTGGAATTTTGAGCTACCATACTCAGTCTATTCGATATTGTACATGGACATGGGTGAGTGCAGTGAAGTATTGCAATGAGCAAATTGAGGTGATGAGTAAGCGACCCCCCCCCCCCCCCGCTCACGCGCTAATTCAGTTTTTTTATCATTTTTGACCATCTTCGCTCTCTTTTATTAAAGACCATAGTATTTCTTGGGGACCTTCGACGCAAAAATTTCGGTTAGTCTCTGTCTGTCTGTCTGTCTGTCTGTCTGTCTGTCTGTCTGTCTGTCTGTCTGTCTGTCTGTCTGTCTGTCTGTCTGTCTGTCTGTCTGTCTGTCTGTCTGTCTGTCTGCCCACTCTTACCGGCATCGGTTACTTGAAACGGCCGACCCCATCCGCAGCGACCACCAATGTTGCTCAAGGTTGAGCGTTCATGCTTGTGCAATTGTCAATTAAAAAGCAATTATTGCGCATGTCTGGGACACCAAAAAACACGCATATATTCTGCATATGCATCTCTTACATGAAAACGCATACATAAGTAATTTTAAGGACCGTTGCGCTTATCATGCTGCGTTTACCATGCAACGCTTGTACGGCACGGGGAGTGTTTCCAACGCTTTGCTAAGACGAGATGGTGGTGGCACCTACTCGTCTCCTCGCGTTCTACACCTTATCACCTCTGAGACGGGCGCGCACGATCACGCGCTTTGTTTTCCAAAAGAAACTGCCAGATGGCGCTCATGTCTGACGTGTGACGTGATTTGATGCGCTCGTTCGCCTCCGCTGCATGCTCGAGGCACTCTAACGCAGCGCCTCTGGAATACCTTTCACCGATTTTCTTGCGCAGAACATAAATTAAATGTTTTGTTCACTCTCTCCACACGCAAGACTATTGTCTTTCGACGACATTTGCAGAATAAATGCAGATACGGGGCCGATTTTCTCTTTGTCTCTATCTATAGAAAATTTTTCAGTATTTTTTATTCTGTCACATACATTCAACGGCCTCTATTACACTGTCTTCACCCCCCCCCCTTTTTTTTCCTTCTTTTAACCATCAACTCATCACTAACATTGCCCTTATTTGCACCTCCTTGCTCTGTTATATTATGCATGACCATGTTTGCCAGAAGTTTCATGACATATTGCTGCTTTATCTGGCACTTACCTGCCGAATTAGCTGTCTACAACAACGTGTTTACTACGAGCATAATTAAAAGCACTGAACACCACTCCTCCGGCATCTTAGCCAATCTTTTCTAGTTGTTTTCCTGATGGACAGCTCAAGCCACAAATGATTTATAATATGACTGCACTGCTAATACTCTTTTTCTACAATCAGATATCTACTTTTTCTATGGCCCAGGTCTCCATCAAAGTGTGACATAGGTGATCCCGTGATGCCAGGACGCCCTGGGAAGGCCTCCTTCTCGGATGTATGCAGCGACACGCCCGACCGTGTCAAGAACATAGAAGACGACGTTGCCTACAGCTCCGAGAACTACACGTGGGTGTCGTACGAGGACCAGTTCACCGTCTTCGAAAAGACCGCCAAGGTTCTGCGTCACTGGAACCTTCTGTGCGTCGCCGTGGTCGACGTCGACCTCGATGATGTCCGAGGCCAGTGCGGACGGGCGTATCCGCTGCTCAGGCGCATCTACGAGACATCGTACATGCTCAAGTATTCGCCAGAATGATCACTTCCCTCAGTGTGAAGTGATTTCTTCTGGTGTTTTCGAATATAATTTGCGTCTGCGCAGATCTTTCTCGCCAGACTGTTACACATGGTGTCGTTATTTTAGGAGGTACGCTAACAACGCATTTCGTTGCTTCGAACTCGGTGTCGCGCTATCCATGGAACTTGAATGCATATAAACAGAATTTCCTGGCACCTCTGCAAGCAGACGCTAGTGCCATTTCCGTGAGGTTCAGGCTGTCGCAATCAACGTTTATATAACCTCTTTGGCGCCATCTATTGAATGCCAGTGTACGCCACTACAATTCACTGCCGCCTCGTTGATCAGCGACTATGGGGCGCTGGCACCCGCATTCATCTTGCTTTCCTTGTGAACAGGGCTAGCAGTACTAGTCATAGTCGTCGAAATATTGCGTTTCAAAGGTATTTTCATATGGTAAAACATTCTGAGGTGTAAACAAGCAATAGAAGGCTGGAAGCAGGAGTCGCGTTAAAGGATGGGGGGGGGGGGGAAAGCACGAGAAGCTGAAGCCCCCATTCCGGAATTTTCCTCAGCTCCCCTTAACACTCCCCCCAATAGCAAACATATTTCTAACACAACGCCTATTGTCACCGCCTTTCATCCCCCCTCCTTCAATGAACTTACTGTGACTGCCCCTCCCCCCAGTAGAAAAAATGACAGTGGCTTAGCTCAGCTATGCCAAGATATACGTAGCGTTAGCAAAAGTTCAGCTGAATATTTTTAGCTTTCCAGAGTGTCTAGTTTTAGCTTGATTATAATACTTACTGCTGCTGCAATGACACACGAATATTTATTTTGCCGGGCAACTACTTCGGGATCCGATGAGTGAATCTTCTCCGCTCTACTGCACCAGAGTGGCGTTGTGGGCTTGTTGGGGATGCATTTGAAAGAAATTTATGTAGCGCGAGGCAAAAAAAAAAAACGGGCACAGCAAGGAATAGACAGAAAACAGTGGAAAAACTTTAGACCATTATCATCACCGATAAGGGCCAACTTTTGTTTGACGTGACACCTTGCAACAAGGCGCTATATATAAGCTCTTTTCGAGTAAAAACTTCCCCATGCAGTTGCGTTGGCTTCACCGCACGAATGACCAGAACTGGTTCAAAAATTTTAGCCATTTATCACCCCTTATAAGGCACAACTTTCGTCTGGCGTCACACTTTGTAGCAAAGCGCCATTTATGCGGTCTTTCTGTGTTAAATGTTCCCCAAGTACGTTGGCTTTACCACATGAAGGGCCAAACACGGTAAAAAAAGTATAGCCCCTTATCGCCCACGATAAGCTTCAACTTTTGTATTAAGTCACACGTTCAAACCAAGCACCCCTGGTACATTGGGTTCACTGCACGAATGGCAAAAATGGTCGAAAAAGTTTAGCCCATTATCACCCCCAATAAGGGTCAACTTTTGTTTGACGTCACACCTTGCAACGAGGCGCCATCTAAGAGCTCTTTCCGAGTGAAAAGTTCTCCTGGTACGTTAGCTTCACCGTACGAAGGGCCAAAAACCGTCGAAAACGTTTAGCCCCTTATCAACGCCTGATAAGGCTCAAATTTTGTCTGACGTCACACCTTGCATCAATGCGCCATCGATGCGCAATTTCTCAGTTCAAGTTGGCCCTGGCACTTTGGATTCACCACACGAAAGACGAGAACAGTAGAAAAAGCAAACTATGACGTCAGAAAAAATTTGAGCCTTATCGGGGGTGATAAGGAGCTTAACTTTTTCGACCGGGTTTTGCCATTCGTGTGGAGAAGCCAACGTACGAGTGCAACGTTTAACTCAGAAAGTGCCAATAGATGGCCCATCGCTGCAAGCTGTGAATAAGATAAAAGTCGAGCCTTATAGGGTGTGATAAGTGAACCAACCCTTTCGACCATTTTTGACCATTCGTGCGGTGAAGCCAACGTACCAGGGGAACTATTAACTCAAAAAGCGCATATCTTGTGCTTCGCTTCAAGGTGTGACGTCAGACAAAACTTGAGCCTTATCAAGGCTGATAAGGGGCTGAAGTTTTTCGACCATTTTTTGGCCATTCGTGCGTTGAAGCCAGCGTATGAGGGGACCTTTTAACTGGGAAAGTGTGCATATATGGCGCCTCACTGCAAGGTATTACGTCAGGCAAAATTTGAGCCTTATCAGAGCTGATAAGGGGCTAACACTTTTCGAGTGTTTTTGGCTCTTCGTGCGGTGAGGCCCACGTACCAGGGCAACTTTTCTTTCGGAAAGAGCCCATAGATGGCGCATCTTTGCAAGGTGTGACGTCAGAAAAAAATTGACCTTTATCGGGACTGATAAGGCGCTAAACTTTTTCAACCGTTCTTGGCCAACTGTGCTGTGAAGCCAAAGTACCAGGGGAACTTTTAACTTTGAAAGAGCGCATAGATAACGAATCGCTGCAAGGTGTGACGTCAGACAATAATTGAGCCCTATCAAGGGGTGATAAGGGGCTGAACATTTTCGATTGTTTTTCAGCCAATGTACTTGCTAGAAATTTTCGGCAGACTCAGAATACTACGACACAAGCTGGTCGAGACCTGCACGCCTACACTAACAACAGCGGTCAGCGGGTGTCATTTGCATCATCTGTGGCCCTCTCCTTCCGTAGGTCCGCGACGCGATGACGGATCGACACCCCACGGATACATTGTGAGGCGTCGGTGCATGTAAGAGAAAAGAAAAAAAAAGATTCAACTGTTCCCTCAGGAAAAAGCAATGGAGCAACGTTGAATGTGTGAGATTGCGCCTTTTTTTTACATCTATACGTGACAGTAGCGGGATTGGTGGAAACGTTATGCAAATATTCTTACTTCCATAAAATCAGTGAACCGCCCGAGTGCCCGTATATACAATAAAAAGAAGTGTTATTTCTCAATGTTTTTCCAGAATCAGAAAGAACAATTACGGTTATCTGAGGGAAGGTCATGTAAGTTGATTATTTGTAAAATAAGTTTTGAATGTTTGCTGCGGAGGGGTGGGAGAGCTGGAGAGACGGCAGACAGTGATTTATTGTAGACAGCTGCCTCCCTTTCCCCTTATTAAGAATTGCTATTACCAATGAGAGGTCAAACTTACCTTTGTAAAATACTTAACTGCTGTCAAATCAACGCTCTGCTGTCAATTCTAAGTAGGGAGATCGCATTTGAATCTTTGGTTGTAGACTTGCCCACTGAACATCAGTGTTTGAAGATGCATAATTAGAGCTTCGAATTGGTAGTAATGGACACTTTTACAGTAGGGAGTGCACAGGACAAGCAAAACTAATGTTGTCGTAAAACAGGACTTACATGCGGTGCAAAATTATTACAAATATTGAATACCAAGCATTCCTGGGAAAGACATGAGAAAAATCAGTCTTGTCTTGGCCCCTTGTCATGAACAGAAGTCTACCTGTCAAAACGACCCCGGCAGGTTTAACATTCATCTCCTGGAGAGACTATATTCTGAACTCGTTTGGATTAACATCTCTTGAATTTGAAATTTCATTTTAGCAATGCGCCGTTTTGGTGTCTAACAGACTAATTTATTAACAGCTCGCTTACATAGGGCAACTGTTTGCCACCTTGACTGGTACAGCAACCAATATTGGGCAGAAAAGTGCTCAACGAGTTGAACACCAGAGAGCACAAATAAGAAACGTAACTTAACACGCAATGTAGGTTTTATTTGAGCAAATCCCAGCAATTAAACTTTTTTTCTCAAACGAAAAACAACACAATACATCACAACAACACAATCAATTTGACAAAGAATACAGTTTGAGAAGCTTTAAGTATAGGGTGAGTACAAATATGGTAGCTACATGGGAATCCACACTTAACTGGACAAAGGCAACAAGTAGTAGCAACATATTGCATACCGATACCTATTCTCAATCGAAGAAATATTGCATTAACAATACCTGTTAGCCAAAAAAAGAAAAAAATACAAATTTTGTGGAGGCCTAAAGTTACTTCGTAAATGTTGAACAATACTAGTAGAAAAGAACCATACACAGCAGAGCAACAAACAACCGAGTTGTTCCACACAACTCTCAATATTTCAAATCGTAATTTACCTGAATGACGTGGCACAAAGGAAGGCCTCGAATAATGATTTGTACTCTACTAAACTGGCATTTACATCTTTACAACTCCGCGGCATTACCTCTTAAGGCAGACTGGCAGCGTGCGCCAGTGAGCACTCACTCTAGGCATACGTCAAGAACCCGACGTCGAGGAACCTGGCTTTTCGAAAACTTTGCAGAGTGCACAGGCAGGACTTTAGTTACCCTTTTAAGTTACCTGTTCAGTCGCCAAGGTGACCCGTTGCCGTGCTGCGGTAAAGAGGATGGGCCTTTCCGGACGTTTACCGGTTGCGCAACTACAGTGGTCAGCATAAATTTAAGAAAAAAGATACATTCACTGCATATGTCTTAACTACAAAAACATTATGAACCCATGTAGCTTGATGCAAAAAATAGCGGACCCATACGGAGGAAATCATTCTCAGAAGAAAAAAAAACAACTTCAAGAACACTCGAAGTGCAGTAAAGAGAACGTACTGGCAGTACCGTGATAAGCAGTCAATGAACACTAGAATTTTACGATGACACAAATAGTCTTCACTCACACAGTATAGCACACACCTTCGCTGCAACACTTTGCCTAATAGCAGGCTCCTGCATTTGTGTTCTACAAAAGCATATACAACAACACTGCAGTAACAGACAAAAGAAAATAAAGCATTACGTGCCAAACAGACTCCCTTTAAACCGCAAGTTTTGTTTGCGGTGATTACTGCCCGCACCGGCATACCGCTTCAGTCGCATTGTTAGGCTTTTGGCATAATGTTCATGTTCATTTATAGGGTGAAGCGAGACCAAAGCATTCAAAGTTGAATGCCGAGTTGGAAAGCATATACTATCACCAAACACAGACTAAACCACATAACTGGTTCTAGATAAAGTCGTTGACCGTAAGCAGGTGGCCATGTGTT